AAAATATGAAACCGTAATATATGTAATAAAAGAACAATTATGATCTAAAGGGTATCAAAATTTGCAAAAAAGAAAAAAAGCTTAATATTTATTTGTTTACTTTATTAAACATTTCTTTCAATGTAAGTTGTTTAAGTTGCTTCGTTTTATGTGATAATACTTTGTCTTTAATTCTATAAACAGACATAATTTCTTGCAAAGTTCCACTGTTCAAGTCCTATAATTGCTGTGTCGAGAATACCGACTAATTTGTCAATCGAAATTTTTTCGTTTTCAATAACCTCTGTGTCACTTTCTTCACTATCGGAAGCGAATTATAATGATGAGGAATTTGATTTAAATCATATCAAACGCAGAGTACATCGAGATGAAATACTACATTTGGTAAGGAATTATAAGCCAAATAAAATAAAAACATCTCCCCTGAAGATAAGGATAGTGCTGACCAATTCATTGCTCACCGCAGAGCAGCGTGAAATTGATAAACAGGTTTCGGATTGGTTTTAGAGAAACAAAGGATATGCCTTTATCCATTTTTTGCAGCAATCCCACTTTTGTTTGATGGACATCAAAACATACTTTCGCTTTGTAGATCCTTTGGGAGCTCCAGCATCAGAAATTCTATTTGACATAATTAAAAGTTCAAGCTTACTTTTTATAAAATTGCTTTAACAGTCTGCAAAAAATAATAAGCCGGATCCAATTCGAAGATTAAGGAACAACGCAATCTGCAACATTAACTCAAATATATAATTAGATAATTTTAGCTTATACCGTCTGTTATACATTAAAAGCAGAAAGTTTGTAGCTTTGTGGTCCGGATTATAGATCATTCCCGATTATGGGTCTGAATTAATGACTTTTGACTGTGCATTTTGTGTGTTTGCTTCTCTTCAATTTTGTATTATCTTCCATGCCTCTTTGAAATTAATAAGTTTTTTAGCTTATTTTAATAACTTTGGATGAATGGAAATATATTTCGCAGAGAAAACCTTTTTAATTAACAACGAACCTATTTATTTACCATTCGAAGCATAACAAAAAAAGGAACATGCAATGCGTTATCACACTCAAAGCATATGTAAACAAAACATCAATCACTGTTGCCACAAAAAATATGCTTTATAATGAACATATTAAATAATTGTTTATTAATTGAGTTCATGCAGTTTATTAATATCCTCCTACATTGTAATTTTTAGAAATTGCAGCATATTCTCTACTCAGTTCATCAGTTTTTAGTTCTGACTCTTCAGAACGAGGCCATTTATCAAACCAATCCGGTTAACCAATATCTTGTTTAAACCAATTTCCCTCCCACCATCTGCTCTGTAGCAACATTTTGGCATCGCACTGTCTAGAGGGTGTTGGCAGTGGTGATAGAGGCAAAGCATATTTTGCTTCCCTTAAATAAAGCTAAGACTAATCTAAATAAAATTCATGCTTTATTCCATAAATTAAAATAAAAGAGCTAACACTGTAGCCTTACATTTAAAAATCATTTGATTGAAAGCAAATAACATTATGCTAACTAAATAACTAACAAGAGACACAAAGACATTCGCCGATACCGGTGTACATATATATAATACTTGGCCAACCCGCCGATCTTGACGTCATCGGCCAATCAGTGGCAACCACGTTAGCTTACCGCCGATTGACCTCCGATCAAAATTTGCATGTGGAAAACTAAAGCCAACAGAGGGAAGATCAGCTGGATTGCTTGAGCATGGTACATAATGCCAGTCATACGGATTTGTACATCTCCTTATTTAAGCTACACTATTTGCCACAAAAACACTCCAGTGGAAATATTTTGAGATCTATGTCAAAACTACAGACAAGTCGCTCCAAAGGTACATTTTGCATTTTGTCAATTTAAGAGCATCAATGACTTGACGATACAACCCATTAGCTATATGTACTCCAAGCAACACTAATCTAGGAATAGTTACTTCTTTGGCAGGCGCTACTCTTGATTTGCATAATTCCAATTGTACTGAAGTTTTGCTCTCAAAATATGCACATAAGAAAATGCATGCCGCATAAGATACCTTACTAGCATCACTAAAAACAATGTAAAGTGACAGAGCATTCATCAAAGGGTCGAATCACAAGTCTTCTTGAAATTTTATAATAATTCAAGAATTGTAGTCTTTTGAGCCAAGTCTGAAATTCTCTTTCTGTACCTTGCGAAAGATTTTCATCCTAGGAAAATTTCATCTTCCATGTTTTTTGCAGAATAAGTTTTGGCATTAACGTAGTTGGACTAGTAAATCTGTTGGGGTCAAATATCCTCTGTAAAACTGATGGTAGAGATCTTTTCATGTGGACACTCTTAGAAAATGTCAAAGGGGTTAAATTGCAATAAATTTCATCATGGTGTCCCATGAGAGTCGCAACATCATTGTTGCCACAAAAAATCTACGTTATAAATAACATATTAAATTATTATGTATTAATAAATGAGTTTGTGCATGTTCTTAACAATACTTATGTGCAGTGATGACCTTATCTTATTGTCTTGGATCTTTTATGATTGCTTTGCGTCTCTCAAAGGAAACAGCCATTCCCATTTCTTCTATTCTTCGTACTGAAAGAAGATTACCATGAAGCTTAGGGACATACAGAACATTTGCTAGGTGAATAGCATCTTTCCCACATTCTCTGACAGGATTCAAAAACATATCTCCCATGCAGAAACTTCAATTTTTTTTTTTTCAGAATCGGCTAACTTCTGATTTCACTGAAGCTAAATTCATAAATTTCTGCTCTTGTGAACACATATGTTCAGTGGCTCCGCTATTGAGGTACCAATCATAGACAGGTTTCTCACCACAAGAATCAACAAACAGTACTTGATATACTTCATTAGAAACCATTTTTGCATGTGAGATTTTGCCAGCAGAGCAATTTTGGGCAATATGATGCTACTGCTCACAAGAAAAGCAATGGATTTTTCTGTCGGTATTTTTATGCTTTTTCTCTAATGGCTGCATAGTTTTAATTCTGTACTTATCTTGAGTTTTGAGGGCTTTCTCTCCCATGACCTTACTGGTAGCAACTTCTGATTTCACTTCTGTGTAGCGCAGTAACTTTTTCTCTTCAACAATGAGATGCGATTTTACGATTTGAGTTGACAACGGATCTTCTTCTTGTTCTAAATTAAGGATAAGGCTTTCATATTCCATGGGTAAAGCCATTAACATAACGAGGGTAACTTCTCTGTCCGCAAGTCCATGTCTGCAAGACGATACCTTTTGGTGAAGTCCATCAGTCGACTTAGATAAGAACTGACGCTTTCTCCTGGTTTTAAAGTTACATTAACTTTTCACCTTTTATTCGAGTTTTGTGATGTCAAAGTTTTCAGCATTCTGTTTTTAGCATTCATATTCACAAGATGTCTTTTTGTACTAATCAGTGATGTTCTGCAATTCTGTAGTTTACTTTTTCTTCCTATCTTCTACTGTTTTCGACATAGGAATTCTCAGGTGGTACCGAACTTTAGTGGATGCCCTGTGTGTATATATATATATATATATATATTATGTCTATGCACTACCTTACATTGAAAATGCACAGCTTTCTAGCAAAGAAAAAGATATATAAAAAGGAACCTGCAGAATGTTCAATTTTCATGCCATTATTTCTGCTAGGGAAATCATCATAGAAAATTTATTCTTGTCTCAGAGGATGCATGTAATAGCAGAGAATGCCAGGCCATCATCAGCAGAGGCAGTTTCAACAGACAGATGATTTTAGGAGGGGCGTGGTAATCAGACACAGAAGGGCAGGTTGGTCCATATGGGAAATTTCAGCTGACACACACCTAGATGCATCCACAGTGCATCGACTGTGTCGACGATGGTTGGAACAAGGAAATGTGGCAAGTTCAAGTGGTGTCGGGGCATCCAGAATGGCATCAGCATTTGTGGGTTGACGCTTCTGCCAACAAGCGGTTATGAACCCGCACGCCACTTCTGACTCCATTCTGCAGCATGTTCAAGATATCCTTTGGATGTTCCCATGTTGACTAGAACCATTTGCTATGGATTGATGGCTTGTGGCCTGCACTCATGGTGTCTGTTAAGAAGACTGCCATTGACCCCACATAATAAATGCCAATATCTGCAATAGTACCAGGCTCAAGCGATGTAGACGACGGAATGTCTCTGAGTTAATGTTGAGACAGGTCCACTTAGGCAGCAATTGTGGAACATCCCATAGCACGACAACACGGCATTATAATTTGGGGTGTAATTACATACAATTCCAAGTCACTTCTAGTTCATATTCAGGACACTGACGGCCCAATGAAATGTGGATGATGTGCCGTGATCGGAGACACTCCTTTGCCTTCAGGGTGTGCCTGGTGCCCTGTATCAGCAAGATAACACCTGACCACACACTGCTCGCCATTAGCCAACATGCTCTACAAGGTGTACAGATGCTTCCGTGGCCACTGTTCTCTCCTGATCTCTCACCAGTCAAACAGATTTGGGATGTGATTGGATGCCACTTGCAGACCCTGCCATTGCAGCATTCAGAAGATGAACTGTGACAAAGGGTTGACAGGGAGTGGAGAGTCATTCCTGAAGACACCATCAGTAATCTCACCTAGAAGTACCTAGATGTTTTGCTTTGTGTATCGCTGTGTAAGATGGTCCTACAACCCACTGAGCTGACGCTGTTCTCGCTCTGTATTATGCATATCATTTTGAAATAAAGATCACTTATTGTTCATTGCTATATCTCTTTGTCTGCCAACTTTCATACTTTTTGGCCATTGCGTCTTAGTGTTGTATTTTCAATGTTCAGTAGTGTATGAATTATGTATACTTGTTGTTAAACAAAATCCAAGTAAATTTTGTATGTTGAATGCTTTCAAGTAATTTTATTACATCAAATCATAATTTATATAAGTTATAGGTTTATACTATTCCTACTTATTTTACTCTGATGAAGTTCTGTGTTTATTTACTAGAAATTTTCTTTAACAGTTTTACACCATCAAGAAAATTTGCATCCAGGACTGGTGCTGGAGAAGTTGTTTGTTCATTTGGTGACACACAAAATGTGGGATGGAAACTTTCAGATGAGTTTTCTTGTTCAATAATTCCTTATAATGAAAAGACTATTCTCCAGGATTCTTACCATTTTATGTGTGAGAAACTTCGAGATCGAGCATCAATACTAAATGACATGATACAAGATGCAGCTCAGTATTTTGAAGGCAAATATGATATTCATGAGTGGGGTCATATTCAGTTGCCTTCTGTGGTAAGCACTTCTAAAACTGTTTTGATACTTTCATATTTTTAATAATACCTTCACCCTCAGCTTCAACATTTGGTAGAAATTCCTTGTTCCCGGCATATTTGTAAGTATACACATATCAATAGCTAACCTACACATATGCATAATACCAATGCATACACATGGGTTTACACTCTGTGTATTTAATGACAATTTCATTGAACAGATCCGCCTGTGAAATTGTAGATATCACACATAAAGATATTTATTTTTCTCATAAAATGTTTTTTTCCTTATAAAAACCTTTTTTGTGTGTGTGTTATCATTATTTTTGGATAGAATAGTGCCTGTGAGCCATAAAGTTGGCCAAGAAAATATTTTTCACTGAATCACAAAGCTGCCAATGAGTTGGCAACTTTTCCTGGGTGTGCAGATAATCAGAAGGTACCCTTTTTTTTTAACTGTCTGAGCGGCACACGTTTTTGGGTCTATCATAAAGGCCTGTACTTTAACAGCATTTATTAGCTAAATTTGTGTAATTTCTTATTTTAGTCTCTTTTTTTTTTCCTAAATTTACATTCATCAAGATGACATTTACATTATTAAAGAAAGTAAGAAAGCAAAATATCTTAAATTATAAGCTCATATGTGCTAAGTAACAAAAAAACTCTTGACCCAATTAAGCCAGTCATGCCACTTAAGCCCTGTTCACATGAGCAGATTCGACCAGCAACAAAAACCGGTTCTTCAACATATCCCATCCTTACGGTGAACAAGCATTAACTATCTCTCAGAATTGGAGGTAGAACTTGGTTGAATGTTCCTACCTCTCCAGAGCTGGGCAAATGGGGAGATTTCCCATACTACATTACGCGATTGCGCCGTTCACTTAATTGTAGCAAACAACATGGCTGACATGCAACTGACTGCTTGCTGGACTGTCAGTGAAACAATCGTTTTGATAGGTATTTGGGGATGCAATATCATCGAAAAAAATTAGATGGAACCCTACGAAATATGGAAATTTGTAAACAAATAACAGACAAAGTTGCCTGGTGTTCCAGAAATACCATTCAAATTAAAACTAAAGACGCGCATATCGCCTTCAACGCGACCAGGGGACTCGATACCTTTTGAATGATTTATTATTATTATTATTATTATTTAAGAACTTTCATCTACTATTCATGAATATTACTAAATTGTTTTTTGTAAGACAAAATGATTTTAAGCTAAAAAAAAAAAATTTTTTTTTAATATCTTTCTTCTACAATTTTCAATGTTTTTCCTCCAGTTTTTCTTATTTTATTTATTATAGTGTTCTCAATAACCTTAAGGATCAATTTTGCAATTAATGAATTAGTTTTTGAGAAAAATTAAAAACATGTTTTTATGTAAAAACTTTGAAACAAGTATGATCTCAATCACATTTTCACTTCAAATAATTTTTTCTTTTCAGAAATTTGCAAAACCGATTCTTGTATTTATAAAGTGTATAATTTTAGATAAGCAGTAAAAATATTAAATAATTTAGTCCATATCAATATGAGTTTTAGGACCTTAAGTAAAAGGATTTATCAAAAAAGTGCAAACTAAAAAAACGCAGTTTAAAGAATATAAACTGTCTAAATGGTCATAAAATCATTTTAAATTTCTTAAAAATTTTATTATTGAATTCCAATGCATATATATATAAAATAAAGCCTAGTGCTATTCAATTGGTTAATATAAATATAAATTACAAGCTTTTATTTAAAATCTTTGTAAAACACATTCAAAATAGTTTTCATATATGAATTAATTATAATAATATATTTTCTAAAACATTTATAATCAATATTAATAATACTAATTTGTTGTTTTATTCATTTTTAAAAAAACAAAGTTTGAAATTTTAACAGCCACAAAACATTTTATTTAAAACCGTTCAGCTGCATAGGTGATTTCTCTTTCTTCTTTTAACCATTTCATCTTGTACATAAACTGCATTTTAAATTAATTTAGGTGCATTTTCGTTAATTAAAGAGTTAATGTTGCTCCGAAGGGGTTCTATAGCAATAGTAAATAATGTCAAAAAAAGATGTAAGCAAACATTAGAAATCCGCCAATCCGTTTGTTCGTTTTGCGTTCGTGACATCATTGCTAGCATTGGCTTGTGGGTTAAGGGATGGAAGACAATGTGCATCTGAACTGGTCCTGAGGGCGAAACTGTTTTATATTTCCGTTTCTCCCTAGTAAAAACAGTAGCTGCGTGAAAGAGCGTTGCATGTGAACGGGGCTTTAGAGGCTTAAAGCAATATTTGGGGGAAAAGCAAAATATTCTTATAATTTTTTGTAAATATAATCTGATGATTTTAATGAAATGATTTTCTATTGTTTTATTGCTTGAATGGAAGTTGTTTTGCATGTAAATTTTTATTCTGAATAATTGTTAATTTTTCTTCTGAAAAATTATTATTGTTTAAGGAAACTGTTTCTGTAATTGGCCGCATTTGTTCAGATGGTAGTGGTAGACTGACTGCATCCTCTTTGCTACTTGAAGGTTCTCAAGAAATGTGCTCAGGTGCAATTATGCCATTAGATGTTAGTCGTTTGGAGAGTTTTTCTTTATTTCCTGGACAAGTTTGTATCCATTTGTGTAATTTATATTTAAGCTACTATTTTGAATAGGTTTACAAATTTAAATTGTTTTCTTTTTAAAATAGATTATTGCTGGAACAGGAATAAACAGCTTAGGGAAAAAAATCATTTTAAATAATATATATGAGGTGAGCATTCAAACTTTCAGCTTTTTACATAAATAATAGTTTCCTTGTAGTTTTCTAAATTAAGACATTAAATAAAAAATTTTACCATTTTTAAATGTGTATTTGAATTTTTACATGATCTTTCCCATAAATATAATGCTAGGTTTTTTTAATGCAATTATTAGATATTCATTCATTCATTCGTAAAAGTTTATTTCATGTCTGTAAATAAATACTTTATACAGGAAATAAATTTTGCATTTATTTAAATATGATATGGCATATATTTATGTTTGAAGAGTCGCCATGTAAAATATTGTGATCTCGTCATTTCTCAACAAAGTTAATCGTTGATTGAAAACCAACCCTGTTTAATATATCATGCACAGAAGCTGTTCTTTCAAGAACGATATTTTATATACCACAAACAATTCTTTCAGTTATGAATTATGCAATCAGTTTTTGATTTATTAAATGGTAAGAAAAATGCAGTTGTATTCTTTCAATTAAAAGACATTTTACCTTGTGGAGGAATATGTGAAAATAGTTATCAACAATATGAGATTCAGAGATGAAAGCATTTGGTAATATAACATTAAAATTTGCAGGCAGAAGAATGGCATCCAAGTGAGAAACAATATGCAAGAAATAAATATAAGTGTGATTTCATTATATTTTATTTTTTCCATAATGTTTGTTATTTCTGGATATTTTTTGCTTGTTGCCTTCTTTAGATGGTTCATCTTATGTGTGTGAATTCTCTATAAAATAAGTGTCCTGAGGAAATTTTTTATTTTGGAACTGTGTGGGAGGAGGAAAAAATTGAATGTATTTTCAGTGTTTTAAATAGTAATCTTTCATCCCAATATAGGGTGTTTTCCCATTACCATCCCCTGAGGCTCCTGATTTAGCCAATTGTTTTGGTAAGATGTTTATTTATTTTATTTTAACAGTACAGCCAATTTGTTAGATTGCTTTATTAGTGCCTTACATTTTCTTGAATTCTTTAGCTGTAATAAGCTGAATCAACAATAAATATATCATGCTGTTCAAAAAGTATCAAACTTAATTTTTTTTAATATTTTTCCCCGCATAAACCAATGAAGAGTGGGAGATTTTCTTCTGTGTAAGATGGTAAAGGGCACACATGCACATTCATGAATTTTTTTCCTCTTGCAAAATGCGTCAGTTGCTGGCGGTCAGCCAACAAGTGAATATGTGTAGTGAGCATTCATCAGAATTCAGTGTTTGTGCAATGGTTCAAAAAATTACTAAAAATTGAGCAGTGATACTGCATCAAATTTTGTCAGAAACTTAGCGATACCAAGCAGAAACCATTCGCGAAATTCAACAGGCTTTCGGAGACGATTCCATGAGCACTTCTCGTATCGAGAAGTGATATAATTGTTTCAAAGATGACTGCACATCAGTGGAGAGTGAACCATGTTTGGGTAAGCCCTCAACAAGCCGGAATGACAATGTCGTTGTGCAAGTGCTTATTCTAGTCTTGCAGGATCGCCATATCACAGTCCAAGAAATTGCCAACACGACAAAAGTAAGCTTTAGATCGATACATTCAATTTTGCATGAGGAGAGTGTCTGCAAAATTTATACTGAATAGCTTCAATATAAATTTAATATAGCTTCAGTATAAATTTAATATAGCTTCAGTATAAATTTAATAATAATGGAGTAGAAGCAATGGCATCTGGACATTGCACAGCATATGCTGTTTAAGTTTCTGAACACTGGGGTCACAGTCAAAATCAAGGTGTAGTCATCACTGTGGCAACCTCCATCATCCTCCACCAAAGACAAAAAAAGCATGGCAGGTCCACAGCAAAGTCCTGTTAACCATCTTGTGTAATTCCCGTGATGTTGTTTATCATGGATATGCCCCCAAGGCCAAACCATCGCAAAGGAGTACTACCAGGCAGTCCTTCGTAATGCTGTGGGGCACCAATGACTGAATCTGTGTGCAGCAAAAACTTAGCAGCTCCATCATGGTAATGCACCCGCCCATTCTATGCATCTGATTCGGGCTTTCCTGGACAAACACAACATTACTGTGGTTCGTCAGACTTCCTACTCACCGACATGGCTGTGTGTGATTTTTGACTGTTTCTCAAGCTGAAAATGCAACTAAAAGGGACCCAATGTGAGTCGAGAGAAGACATCATCTAAAATGTGATAGAATGTTTGCTCACCATTCCAAAAACTGTATCTCAGCGGTGTGTTTCAACAATGGCAGGAGCCCTGGGAGAAGTGTATCCATTACCAAGGAAGCCTACTTACTTTAAAGGGAATTAGTCTTTCAGGTTTTCCATATCAATAAATGTATTTTTTCGATACTTTTTGAACAGGTGGTATGCTATTATTTCAGTTTAACAAACATTTCCCCTTTTAATGTGTGGGTTTTTTATGTGAAAGTTTCATGCAAACTCAAGGATTATCAATTTAATATATTTTTTAGATTCCCTCAATGTTGTTGTAGCTGCTGGACCTTTTGCTACTTCTGATTCTTTGTCTTATGAGCCTTTAAATGACCTCATGAAATATGTCAGAGCAAATTTGCCACATGTTGTGATTTTAGTATGTATTTAGCATTTTATTCTATAATTTTTTTTACAAATGTCATATTTTAAAAAAAAAAAAAAATTCATTTTTTTATGAAAAATTGCTTGATGAAGCTTTTCACAATTACTGTCCGTTATTACAAAATAGATTGTATTCAAAATAAATGGGAAAACATAAACTGTGAAAAACTGTATATTAGCATTGGTGCAGAATTGAAAACATCTAAGTAAAATTTAAGTTATAAATAGAAAAGTTGAAATTTTTGTGTGTGTGCTTTCTGATTATTCACACCCTTAAAAAAAAAAAAAAAAAAAAAAAAAAAAAAAAAAAAAAAAAGAAAAAGAAAAAAGAAAGAAAGAAAAGAAAGACGATTGATAATTCACCATGTGGCAAAAAAATAGTTATCTGACAACTCAAATACCAACAACTGGCAACTTAAATGCTTACAAAAAGTGTCTAATTACTCAAGTAATTGTGTAGCATCCTTGCTTTCACTTCTTAAGACATTTTTATCAGTATGACCGCAGATTATGGCCCATGCTTTAGGAATTTCGGTGTTACCTTAATGGTAGAATACATACTGCAGCTTTCATAATTTTCGGCCCATTTGGGGCATAGCTTTCTGCATGCATAGAGTGTTGAGGTCTAGTTTCTGCATTTGTGTGATTTGTTTTAGCAAAAGCAAATTGCTTTGTACATTGAGTGAATAACAGTGCAAAAAACTGAGAAATGTGCATCTTACATGCAAAAAGAAAAATTTCAAAAAATAATGTGGCACTGGATCATGTTTGAAACAGATATAAAGATACCTAAATAAACATTTCTAAAATTGCCAATGAGCTTGTGACTTTTCAGTACGGAGCAGATAATCAGTCCCCCACCCTAGTTAAAAGTCAGGCGTGAAATCTGATGACCTTTCTTACCAATTAGGAATATTCAGAATATATTTCGCATTTCATCATTTTGCATGTTTAAGAAAACAATATCATTTCAAGGATTTAGTTTTTTATTATTTCACTTTCTTCTAATTATGCATGTGATGAATCATGTACCTCAGTGCAAATTTTAGTAATTATTTTTTTTTAGATATTGAATATGTATTTCACTTCAGTTTGGCTTTAAGAAATGGTAATTTTTGTCATATTTCCAAATTTAGATTGGCCCCCTAGTGGATATAAACAATGATCTGATTGAGGTAATTTTAATTTCATTTTTTCATTAAAATATGTCAATCATTTCTAATTTTAAATTAAAAGAACATGATTAGTAATTTGTTATACTAATCTATGTGGTGCTTAATGTTAACCCAAGTTAAAAGTAAATATCTCCCATGGCATTTTAGTAACCCTTCTCTACTGTTGTATCCAATATTCTTTCCATCAGATAATAAATTTATTAAACTGTTTGCCATGCCATGTGTAATTATCTCCTATCTGCCTATTCTTTTTTCTGTTATTAAAAGAAAAAGTGGTGACAGATATCACTGATAGTTCATTATTTCAGTGTGATTTTTATAATTTGTACCTTTGCATGTGAAAGAAAAAATATAAGTTTTATGAGCATTTTATTTGATGTACTTTTATCTTTAGTACAGTATGCATTTCTTTTGAATTCAAGTTTTCTGAATTACTTAACTTTTTATTTCCACCTTTGATATTTACTTTTGATGTTTTATTTCTTAGCAAAAAAATTGTTACAAGAAAATTTAAGTTGGGATAACTTGTTAATACCATTCGTTTTATGAAGACATGTATAACTGCCAATGTGAAAATGCCAATCTAAGTTTGCTCTTTTTGCCTAGTTTTAAATTTTATATTGCTCATTACTTAAAATTAAATCTATACTATTTTAATCAGGCAGTGTTGAAAAAAATTGGAATTTTGGTGTTCCATTAACAAGTCTGCAGTCAAAATGTGTATAAACTTGTTTCCCTCTCATATGAACCTTACTTCTGTGAAGACATATTAGTTAATATGTGAAAAATTATGGTTTGGGCTATCTCTCAAACAAGCTTGAGAGAATAGTAATTTTTAGATTTAATTACTGTTGTTTGCAGTTATTATTGAACATAATGCTGCCTTTCAAAAATTGCTTAATAATAAAATAAAATAAAAAGTAATTTCCTTATTTTAGAGAAATGCAAGCAATGATAGAAGAAATGAAAGCTTAAGTATTTAATCTCTTTTCAGAAAGGAGATCTAAATGAAACCTATGATGAACTATTTCAGAATTTAATAGCTGAAATCTTAAAGCACATTGAATCGTAAGTATATTTTGGTCCTTTCAAATTCACTTACTTTTATACTCGCTTTATTATTTGCTATTGTCATTCAGTATTAAATAAAAATTCAATTAAAAAAGTTTTTTGGAGGGGTGTTTAATTAAAAAAAACATTAATCTTAACTTAAATGCCATCATGTATTTAGTATTATGCTTCTGTATCTTCAGTTTCATTTATTCAAGATTTACAGCAGGATGGGGGGATGAAAACCATCATTGTTATTTATGTGCATACTAAATGGCAGTTGTCAAATACTGATTCATAGCTGCTCAAGCATGTCCAATAATCAGGTCACTTCATATTTAGGTTTCCTCGTCCATATCCTGCTCAATTTAAAGAGCATTGGATTTTGGTGTTTAGAGTGAACTTGACTTTGTTTTCAAAAACCACGTTTCTCCATTAAAATTTGCATTACTCTGCCTGCATTTTCCTTCTTTTTATTAGTTCTGCTTTAACTTTTCCAGCGTTTTGGGAAAAGAATCATATTTATTTATGCCATCATTTGCATTAATATATTACACTGTCCACTACAGAAAAACACATTTCTTCTGCTGTCATTGGTGAATTAGGCTAATATGACAAAATCTTTTATTTTTATGCACTCAAAAGAGATACTGTAGTATACGATATAGTAATGTAGCATACAATATGATTTTAATATTAAATAGTGATATATTTGCTTAAACTTGGCCATATTTAATTACATTATTTTATGTATTATACAATGTTTGCTATCATTTGCAGTAGGTTCTACAACTGATACATAGGCATTACTGCATTTTTTTTTTTTTTTTTTTTATTATTATGTGTCTAAACAGTCGAAACTCAAAGAATCAAACTTGAGCTCTTTCTTTAAGTCTTAAATATAATCTTAATGTTACATTTCTTTCTTTTAGTCTTAAATATAATCTTAATGTTATTTCTTTCTTCTTAGTCTTAAATATAATCTGAATGTTACATTTCTTTCTTTTAGTCTTAAATATAATCTTAATGTTACATTTCTTTCTTTTAGTTTCAAATATAATCTTAATGTTACATTTCTTTCTTTTAGTCTTAAATATAATCTTAATGTTACATTTCTTTCTTTTAGTCTTAAATATAATCTTAATGTTACATTTCTTTCTTTTAGTCTTAAATATAATCTTAATGTTACATTTTTATCCTCTAAAAATAATTGGATTCTATCATAAAATATCAACTAATAATAACCAAATATTTCAGGGCTTTGCACTTAACCACTTCCATCTTAAAATTTGTAAACTTCATCTTGCAAATGAAAATCTTAACTGATGAACTGTGATTCTTTAATTCCCCCCCACCCCCACACACACTATTTGGAGGAGAACAGATTACCTCCTAAAAAAGAAATTAACTCTTTATGACAAAATAATTCTTTAAAAAAATATAAGAAATTATCAGTTTACCAAACATTATTTTATTAGGTCAAAAAATCTATTTATATATCTTCAGACTTTTAAAAGTACAGTTCTAATTATTATCTGTTTATTTTTTCTCTCATAGCTCAAGTACAAAAGTTGTTCTTGTGCCCTCCATTAAGGACGCCCATCATGATTTTGTGTACCCAACACCACCATATAAAACAAAGATGTTAACTAAGGTAATTTTTTTCCTATAATTAAAAAAAAATTGGGGGGAATCGGTAAGATGAGCAATTGAAAACCACTTCCACTTCTTAGTTGTATGAGTTGGGCTGATTTCAAATTTCTTATCTTTTATTACACAAGAGAAGAAGAAAATCCACCAGAATCTGAAATCCCTTATGGCTTCTCAACAGTGAAATGCAACTGGCATTTTGGCCAATATTTCTGCATAGGGTGACAGGCTTTCTTATCTACTATTGAGACAGACTACCATATTCTGTTTGCTGTTGATTTTATAACCATTGCCACATGAATATATTGCAAAATTAATAAGTTTGTGCTCATTACTTAAAATTAAATCTATACTGTTTTAATCAGGCAGTGTTGAAAAAAAAATTGGAATTGGTGTTCCAGTAACAAAAACTAAACTCAGTGGCGTAACAGCCTTAGTGGACCAAGCCAAGGCCTGCAGTGCCCGAAATCTGCTTTCTTGACTGGGGTGCATAAGCATATGCCCTGAACAAGTGGTCAGCTTGGTCGCAGGACCCCCAGTGTTTAGTCTCCAAGCAAACTTGGTACTCATTTTATTGACCCAAGTGATGGAAATCAACGGATGAAAGGCTGAGTCTCCCTTGACCAGCCCGTGAATCGAACCCCGGACCTGTGGTGCTGCTTCGTGATGCGCTAGCCACTGCGCCACCGGGCCTGTTCTATTCACAAGTCTGCAGCCAAAATGTGTACAAACTCGTCAGTGACTGAACTGCACTAAACATTGTAATTTGTCATGTTTTGATCTAGACACATTTTTGTGCAAAATTTTAATCCAGAAACTGAGCTGAATATTATAATTTGAAAATTTCCAAATGCCAAAGAATCTGGCAATAAATACTTTCAAGCAACAGGAATTGTCTATGGTAAGATTTTGTACAAATAACTATTAGATGAAGTTTTTTTTAATGCTGCAGCCAACATTGTGCCAGGAGAGAAATCCAAATTGATTAAATGAAATTGATCACTTCCCCAAACTGTATTTTTCTCAATTATGCATGCATGATTATATTTTTGAATGATGCCTCAGTCTATTACTAGGACTGCTATTATTATTTCAGGATTCATACCAAAATTTATGTTTACACAGGGTTCGTACGGTCCTTAAGAGTCCTTAAAAGTCCTTAGATTTTTTTGGAATTGATTTTTGGTCCTTAAAAGTCCTTAATTTTAACCAAAATCAGCAGAAGGTCCTTAATTTTAATCATCTGAAATTTCTGTCTGTTTTTACGACTGCCATTTTGAGTGTTAATTAGCATTTTGGAGGAATATTTTTGGCGATTCACTGATGTATATGGTTATCTTTTGAATGGGTTCATGGGTTATAATTTGTTTCCTATTTGTAATATAAATGATGGGGATACTGGAGTTTCTAATCAAGAAGTGAAACATAAGCATTTCTCGAATTCATTTTTACTAAGAAGAGCTTTAAACAACTTTTTAGCCTTTATTTAACGGTTCTGAATTTGGTGACTTACTAACATTTTCGCGATTTTAAGATCAGTTTCTATAGACGAAGTTTTTTATTCCGATATCTGGGAATTTTTTGACAGTTGTTCTTAAAACATTGTAATGTTGATAAATTTCATTAAAATAATAGTAATATATTGAAATTGTATTTAAAAATTAACATTAAAACTAAAGCATTTCTATTTTTTGCTGCATATTCTATATTTTTTGTTTTCATTTTGGCAACTTGTAGTACAATATTTTGAGTCTGAAAAATAAGCAAGGTATAATGTATAGAAAATGTATGTATAAAGCAAAATTTATGAAACTGTTCTTAGCAAAAGCAAAATTAGCTAATTAATTGAAAATGTATTCTTTTTAATTTTGTCATAGTAAGAGTTTTTTCCCCCGTGTAATTGTCTCGAATATCAGAATATTCAGAATATGCATCAGTTTTCGCTATAAAATTATTTTTACATTCTCTCTTTTCCCCTCCCCCCCCCCTTTTTCTTTCCAAAATATTTCTGGTTCTTTGCTGTTATAGAAATGGCAGGGATAATTTTTCTTTAGAATTTTAGACAGTGCAGATGGAAAAGTTTAGAATTATTTGAAAGCAAGTTTTTAATAGACAACCCGATTCTAGAAGATTCGAAACTATGTGACAAAAGAAAATGCCTCCATGTTA